AAGGAGGATATTTCACAAGTACTGTATTGACATTCCTTACTGTCGGTATTTTAAAATCACTTTCTCTGATACTGGCATTAGTTGATGCAAAGTAGATTTTTTCCTCACCTCATTCTATAGTAAATTGGAAATCCACAAGATGACAACCAAAAAACATAATGGAATACTTCTGGTCCTTTTTACATCTACAGGGAGTAGAGTAACTTGTCACATAATTTTATTGCAAATCTCATAATAGTTGGCATTTTCCATGACATGCCAGCTGCTGGTGTAATGTGACTATGTGAGAACCTCATCTCTCTCACTTTTTTTTTTTTTAAGTTTCTACCCCACATGGACGCAGAGAAAAGTTTGAAAATATGAACCCTAAAAGGCACGAACACCAGAAGGCAAATAAATAACACAGAAATTTATTTTTTAAATCTCACAATTTTTAAACCAATCTCATGACTTCAGGAAAGGCAGGGAGGGCTGACTCAACATTTTTGAATGTTCAGGGTTGGCAGTATTGCTCTTCTTCTAACCATGGTTTGAACCATACAAGTTGTTCCACCTTGTCAGACTCCCATGCAGAGTCCCATTGATGTTAATGGGATTCTACAGTGGTCTTTTCACACAGAACTTTCAGGATTAAGCCCCACATTTGATCCACAGAACTGCTTCCAGAAACCTAGTTAATGTTTCTTTTAGGTTCAGAACAGGCAACATCAGGATATTAAGCTTCCTCAGAATGAGAGTGCTAAGACAGCGGAAGGGTGACAAATATTAAATAAAATATTTCACCTGAGTAATTAGAGGTGTAACAGTAGCTCTGATTTTTACCTACCTTTGAATTTTTATGTAGTGTAATGTAACTAATTAGCCTACAAAAGCTAAACATTTAATATTGAACTAAAGAACTCTTAGGGCATGGCTACACTTGCAGATGTAGAGCGCTGTGAGTTAACCATCCTTCGGAGAGCGCAGTAGGAAAAGTGCTGCAGTCTGTCCACACTGACAGCTTCAAGCGCACTGGCATGACCACATCACTTGCAGCAGCATTCGGAGCGGTGCATTGTGGGCAGCTATCCCAGCATGCAAGTGATTGCAACATGCTTTTCAAATGGGGGAGCAGGCAGCAGAGCGTGACAGGGAGAGTGTTGTGGGGGGGGGGGGGGAGGAGAGAGAGATTGGGTTTTGTGGGGCTGAGACCATGTCAGCATGCTGTCTTGTAAATTCAGAGAGCAGCAGACTCCCCTCTTCCCCCTCCCCCACCTCTCTCTCTCACACAACATTCCACAGGAATGACTTGCTTTGTCTAGGAGCAGATAAGCAGCCAGCTGTCAGAAACAGAGCTTTCAAAAGGCATATCCGCATTCCTGCAGCAATTCAAAAACAAGAGTGGCCGCTTGACTTAAGGGGATTATGGGACGTTTCCAGAGGCTGATCAGAGCGCAGTAATGCAATACCTCGTTCACACTGGCACCACGGCACTCCAGCAGGGGCGCAGCAAACGTAATTCCACTCGCCGAGGTGGAGTACCAGCAGCGCTGTAGCCACGGAGTCAGAGAGCTCTTAGTGCCTTGCCAGTGTGGACGGGTGGTGAGCTAGTGTGCCTGGGGCTTCTTTACTGCGCTGTAACTCGCAAGTGTAGCCAAGTCCTAAGATGCAACACTGGCACAGCATGCAGCTTTAAATAGAATATAAGCCCCCACTGATTTGGAGATGGCAAAGTGACAGCTGTCCAACAGGTGGGAACAGTTTGCTTCTTACACTAGAATACCACATTTTTCTTACTATAGCCAGATACTTTACTAATAGGGGACTTAATACAAGGAAAGTTTTAACAAAATCCTGCTCACACATCGTGTACTACTTTGTCCTGTATAATGCAGCCAAGAGAAACATACAAGAGCGTTAGGTCAAGTCATAGGTCAGAACTACATGTAAGTAGTGGTAAAAAGATAAAATTGATATTTAAGTGATTTTTTTTCTACATTTTATCCAAAGTGCTTCAAAAGAATCTACTTTTATTTCCCACAATGTATATGATGGAATTGTTCAGGTGTGATGACTATCATTTTTACTCTGAGGTAAAAAAAGTCATTAAATATAAACTCCTTTTGTCAAAATGCCTCCTTCTGAAAGAATAACTCTGGGTAGCTTGAAAGCTAGTCCTTTCACCAACAGACATTTGTCCAATAAAATATATTACCTCACCCACCATGTCTCTCCGATTCTGAAATACAAGTAAGAACTCTCAAATTAGCATTTCATATTCTCACTGGCTAAAGAGCTACAGCCGCTGATACTAAATTTGATGTAGTGTGATTTGGTAACTTAAGACCAGTCTGAAGTTACGCAGCAGATGGATAGCCAACCCACAACTAGATTCCCAGTCTACTGTCCTATGTGCTGGATCACAGTGGCTTCCGTTACCATTTCAACCAGTGGTGAGCTGGAGCTGGTTCGCACCAGTTCGCTAGGGACAACCCTTTCTAAAAGGGCTTCTAAATTTAACAACCAGCCAAATGTGGCGCTTTAGGTGCCAACTCCATGGGTACTCCAGGGCTGGAGCACCCACCGGCAGCTCCCCACCCCACGCCCAGCCCCAGCTCACCTCCGCTCCGCCTCCACCTCCTCCACTGAACATGCCGCCCCGCTCTGCTTCTCCGCCCCACCGGCTTCCCGCGAATCAGCTATTCACGCAGGAAGCCTGGGAGGGCTGAGAAGCAAGCGGCGGCTTCGCGCTCAGGCCCAGGGAGGTGGAGCGGAGGTGAGCTGGGGTGGGGGGGGCATGAGGAGGGCTGCCCGCGCTGCAGCAGGTAACCCGGGGACCACAGGGGAACCGCTCCCCACCCCAGCTCGTCTCCGTCTCCCTGGGCCTGAGTGAGAAGCCGCCGCTTGCTTCTCAGCCCTCCCAGGCTTCCTGCGTGAACAGCTGATTCGCGGGAAGCCCAGGGGGCGGAGAAGCAGAGCAAAGCGGCACATTCAGGGGAGGAGGTGGAGCAGAGGTGAGCTGGGGCCAGGCGCGGAGCGGGGGAGCTGCCAGTGGGTGCTCTGCACCCATCAAATTTTCCCCAGGGTTCTCCAGCCCCAGAGCACCCACGGAGTCGGTGCCTGAGGCGCCACTTTTGATGTGATCAGTGGGGGGAGCGGCTGCTCCCCTTATTCCCCCACTAGCTACGCTACCCTGCCCCTAGGAGCCAGAGTGGGCACCCACTACGGTGGCCCACGAGACCCTCCTGCCCAGTTCTGGGGGCAGTCAGGGGACAGGGGAGGGGGATGGATGGGGCAGGGGTCCCGGGGGGCGGGCCATGACCCCCTAGTGGGGTGAGGAGGGAACCGGTTAAGATTTTGGCAGCTCATCACTGATTTCAGCATCATATTTCTCTACTTGGAGACCAAAGACAGTCCACAAAAACAAAAGAAACCTTGGACATAAATGATATAGTGACTGGTCATATCAACATTTATGAAAATGATCATGTTTTATCAATGTAAAGCACATGTGATTTTTTTTTTCCAAATAGTGCTATTTGTTTGTTAGGTATCACCAAAGTGCTCAGCACTGTACAAGACAAAGACAACAGTAACTGCAGTGAGAAGCTTACATTCTCGGGCCCTGATGCTGTACGTTTCTAAACACATGGGAGGTTCCATTGACCATAACAATACTAACCTTGTACATATGAGTAAACGTTTTTTTCATTCCACTCTTAGTACAGAATAAATCTGTTTCCCACTACCTATAATTATAATCTCAAGTATCAATATACTTCCAAGTAAATGAAGTGTAAGTATTAAAAAAGAATCATCCTTACTCTGACCCTGACATGCCTCTAGAGTTTATCAGTTATTTAAGCAGCAGAAAATGTAACTCATATTTTGGGTTCATACCACTATTCTGAACTCTGATCCCCTTGACCCCTGAGAACCCTCCAAAGCCACCAAATTAAGACTCTCACTTCTCTGGTTACACAGCTTCTGAAACCATTATTTTCTTACACTGAAGCCATTTAGAACCTGCATTTAAGATTAAAATGTTAAAACAAAGCAGCAATTTTTAAGTGAGCCAAATGAAAAAACAGATGGCGTTGGTAACAAAATTCCCCACCTTGAGTGTAACTTTTATATTGATTTCCAAGGTAGATTGTTTCCCCAATATCCCTGCATTAGGCAGGACATTCAGCAAGACAAGCATTTCAGCTACTCCCAGGAGAACTGTCAGTGACTATATATAAAATTAACCATTTTGATGTAGTTGCACTTAAGTACCTACGCAAGATGTGCACACACGCAACATTAATTGATTTATACACTGGTGCAACTCACAAAATATCCACTGCATACTCTCTTCAGTTTTCACCCACTTATCCTCAGTTTGCTCTTTATAGGAAACTGAACGGCCATCAGAATCCAGGGCCAATCAATCCATAAACAAACACCACATTTTCACTTGCATGGATTTTGGTGTCTTAGATCCCAAAACTTCAGTGGTGCAGGACTTCGCCCCAACAAGGGAGATTTCTGCACAGAGCTCATTGCAGGACTGGCTCTTGACTACAAGTTTCTCGGGGCGACGGCCTTGTTTGTGTGTTTGTGAAGCAGGGTGCACACGAAGGGGACCAGCTATAGGAGACCCTCACCGCGCGCCGCTCAGGGCCCCAGCGGTTGGCCTGGAGCGGGAAGCCTCAGGTCAGGGCTGCGACCCTGCCACAGAACCGACCTTAAACAACACACAGCCCCATCCGGGGGTCTCCGCCCGCCGCGGTGCTGTCATGGGGACTCCCCCCCCCCCCGCTCACCCGGGGGGGGCTGAAGCACCGGAAAGGAGCCCAGGTCCCCCGCCCCCCAGGCTGGGGGGGAGGGGGGGGAACAGGAGTCCAGCCGCTCATCGACCCACCTTGACCCACTCTCCCCCCGCGGGAAAAGAGCCCGGCAGCCGGCCCCCAGGGGCGGGGAAGGAGCCCGGCAGTCCCAGCCCCCCAGGACAGGGGGAAGGGGAGCGCCATCATCACCTTGGCTCTACCGGCCTCCAGCTTCCTCCGCCTCTCCTCCGCGTCCATGGCCGGGGCCGGGCCGGGGGCGCGAGCCCGACGAACGGGGCAGGCTCCCGACGGGGGGCTGGGGGAGGGGAACGGGCTCCGAGGCGCCTCACGGCCGCCAGCGGGCTCACAATGGCGCCCGCCGAGCGCACGCTCAGGGAAGGGCCGCGCGGGGACCGGGGCCCCGCCCCCCGCTCCGCCCCAGGCCAGGCAGGGCGCCCCGCGTGGGGCTCGGCCCGGCGAGGGCCCTGCCCGCAGGGAGCCTGGCCGCTCCCGAGGGGCTCCTGCCGCGCGGCCGACTCCGCCCAGCGGCCACCCACCGGCCAGCGGGGGATGGGTCTGGGCCGGGCCCGGGCGGTTGGGGAGGGGGCGGGGGGGGGGGCAGGGCAGTGGGCGGGGCTGGGCTGTGGGGCTGTGGGCGGGGAAGCCCCGGGGCAGTGGGCGGGGCAGGGGGCGGGGCACTGTGCCCAGTCGCACGAACGGACGGTTGGGATTGACGGCGGGGGCTGGCGTTCTCCTCCCTCTGCAGCTCCCGCCCCCGCCAACGGAAGCGCCGAGGAAGAAGCTCCTCCCCACCGCGGAGCTACGGCTGCCTGGATGGTCAGTTCAAAAGGACGCGGGGCTAGGGCCCGCCCCCACAGGGGAGCTAGCCAATCGCCAGTGCGCGGCCTCAGCCCCGGGAAAACCGAGCCGGCCAGTCAGGAGCTGGGATAGTGGAGGGGGGGTCTCCGCCCCCAGGCCCAGGGCGTGAGGCGCTTCCTCCCTGTGGGGGCGGGGCAAGGAGAGCGTCTGGTGCTGCGCTGCCCGTGGGGGCTGCGTGCGTCCCGGGGGGGGGGGCGCGGACCCCCCCCCCCACAGGCCCCACCTTGCCCCCTAGCTCTATGGACCGCCTCCTGAGGGCCTGCCCCCCCGGGAGGGGCTCCTAGCTCTGTGCCCCCTCCCATCCCAGCCCCAAGGGGAGGGGCTCCTAGCTCTAGGGACCCCCCCTTTGGCCCTACCCCCCCAGGGAGGGGCTCCTAGCTCTGTGCCCCCTCCCATCCCAGCCCCAAGGGGAGGGGCTCCTAGCTCTAGGGACCCCCCCCCTTTGGCCCTACCCCCCCAGGGAGGGGCTCCTAGCTCTGTGCCCCCTCCCCTCCCAGCCCCAAGGGGAGGGGCTCCTAGCTCTAGGGAACCCCCCCTTTGGCCCTACCCCCCAGGGAGGGGCTCCTAGCTCTGTGCCCCCTCCCATGCCAGCCCCAAGGGGAGGGGCTCCTGCCCCCCCCCTTTGGCCCTACCCCCCAGGGAGGGGCTCCTAGCTCTGTGCCCCCTCCCATCCCAGCCCCAAGGGGAGGGGCTCCTAGCTCTAGGGACCCCCCACAGGGAGGGGCTCCTAGCTCTATGGAAACTCCCCTTCCCTGCTTCCCCCCTCCCCCCCCCCGACCAATGTTGTTGGAGGGAAATAAGAGGACAACCACATAATAACAGGTTTCAGAGGAACAGCCGTGTTAGTCTGTATTCGCAAAAAGAACAGGAGGACTTGTGACACCTTAGAGACTAACCAATTTATTTGAGCATGAGCTTTCGTGAGCTACAGCTCACTTCATCCGATGCATAAAGTGGAAAAGCTCATGCTCAAATAAATTGGTTAGTCTCTAAGGTGCCACAAGTACTCCTTTTCACATAATAATAGGGGCTGGCCCTGTATTTTAAGTTATAATTTAGGGGAATGCCCTTTCCGGAACATGTCATGGATTTTGCTCTCAAGTGTACAATGCAATTATCATAAACTTCAGTTTAATATTTAAAACGATCAAGGTACAGCCCTTAAAATAGGGGACAGGTGGTCACCCGAAATGTGGAGGAGGTTGCTAGTATTATGCTACCCCCCAATCCCCTGTCCTCCCACTCAGGGCTTGGATGTCACAGGGATAGCGCTCCTAGCGCTATGAGCCGCCTGTTCTCGTCCCCCTGCTCCCTCAAGGCCCTGGCTCCCCCACCTTGCTCCAGCTGCCCCCCCCCCCTCTTTCTGGCTGGGGCTAGCCAGCCCATCCCCCACTACCAACCACCATCAGCCTTGCCTAGGCTGCGAGGGAGCATTGCTGAGGCATGTGCTGGCCAATGCTACCGCTACCGTAGTGGTGCAGACATATCGTTAATTTTAAAATGCAGCTGTTCTGTCCCTTTCCCAGCACGTGGTGGGGATGAGATCACCTTCCTTTTGATAGTCACTGTTTTAGGCACCTTATAACTAGCAACTGAGAACTGTTCTTTAAACAAAGGTTAGAAACGTAAGAGTCCCCACAGAGCTTAGCTGGAAGGCACCACACTCTGTATAGAATATCAGGGTTGGAAGGGACCTCAGGAGGTCATCTAGTCCATGGATTCTCAAACTGGGGGTGAGGACCCCTCAGGGGGTTGCAAGGTTATTACATGGGGGAGGGGAGTCACAAGCTGTCAGTCTCCACCCCAAACCCCGCTTTGCCTCCACCATTTATAATGGTGTTAAATATATTTAAAAGCACTTTTAATTTATAAGGGGGAGTCGCACTCAGAGGCTTGCTATGTGAAAGGGGTCACCAGTACAAAAGTTTGAGAACCACTAATCTAGTCCAACCCCCTGCTCAAAGCAGGACCAATCCCCAACTAAATCATCCCAGCCAGGGCTTTGTCAAGCCTGACCTTAAAAACCTCTAAGGAAGGAGATTCCACTACCTCCCTAGATAACCCATTCCAGTGCTTCACCTCCCTCCTAATAAAAAAGTTTTTCCTAATATCCAACCTAAACCTCCCCCACTGCAACTTGAGATAATTACTTCTTGTTCTGCCATCTGGTACTACTGAGAACAGTCTAGATCCATCCTCTTTGGAACCCCCTTTCAGGTAGTTGAAAGCAGCTATCAAATCCCCCCTCATTCTTGTCTTCTGCAGACTAAATAATCCCAGTGTCTGTCCTCGGGTAGGATGGGACTTGTGGGGGAGGAGAGTCAGAAGGCATTGAAAATATTATTACAATCTAAAGCAAAGAAAATTTTGCTCCCCCAGCTCATTCTAATTTCAGGCACCCACCTCGCTCTCTCAAAACACACATCAATTACACAGGCTTAGCATTTTGCTATCACTGATATATTTTTTACTGTTGCAGGGGTGGGTTTTTTTGTTTTTGTTTTTTCCAGATCAGGTGTTGCTGTAGTACATAGAGTACAGATCTGGTATCTAGAAGACCTCTGTTCTTTTCCCAGCTTTGCCACTCCTCTGCTGTGTGACCTTGGACAAGTCACTTTTCTCTGTCTCTCTTTAACCTCCCACATGTAGTTTAGAATCTTTAGATCCCACTTTTGCCAAGATTTATGCAAGTGTTTCGTTTTTAAAATGTGGGTAATCCCATTGACTTTAATGGGCTATTCACAGCACATAAAATGAAACATAGACATAAATATCTGCATGATCAGGGCATTAGGCTGTACTCTTTGTGGCAGCGACTCTCATGGGTTTGTACAGCACCTAGCACAATGGGGTTGCTATTTCTGTTGGGGCCTTTAGGCATTACTCTACTAGGAATAGTAAATAATAAATGTAGACATAACATCCTGTTTTTTAAAAAAAATCAGAATATAAAGATTATACATACAAACTGTAGTCATAACTAATTTTGAGCTCAATTTCATTATGAAATAGCTCAGGGAGAAAATTTACATTTTGATTAAATGAAGCAGGAAGCATATGCATTTGTTTATTTTATTTTAGTCATAGTACTTCTACTATTCGTGCTGCTTCTATTTTATTTTGCTTCCTTATGAAGTGTTATTCCTCTACTGTGTTTTCTGCATGAAACTGAGGGCTGATGGCTAAGGGCACAGAAATGTGGAGGAGCAATAACGGTTTCATGATTTGCTTGCATTCATTAATTTAATAAACATTAAAGGAGGTTGAATTCATTGTGTGTACAGAGACAGAGATATCGGTATAGATAGTACTATGACCTAGATTTGGCAAAGCTCTTAGGTATATGGGTAATCTAACTGAAGTCAATGGGAACTCTCATATGAGGGTAAAAAGAAAAGGAGTACTTGTGGCACCTTAGAGACTAACCAATTTATTTGAGCACAAGCTTTCGTGAGCTACTGCATCCGATGAAGTGAGCTGTAGCTCACGAAAGCTTATGCTCAAATAAATTGGTTAGTCTCTAAGGTGCCACAAGTACTCCTTTTCTTTTTGCGAATACAGACTAACACGGCTTTTACTCTGAAACCTGTCATATGAGGGTAGACAGTTGTGAATATTGTGCTAGGTAGAACAGCAGAAGCAGGGATCGGAATAAAGCGGTCCTGCTATTCTCTTCATTGTGTTTAGTGTCACCAAATACCCTAGGGTGGGGAGTACTAGCCTAATAATTCAGTAATCTCCTTTCTTTCCTATGTACTGTTTTGATCTAGGTCAAAACAAACTGCAAATTGCTAGTGTATTGAATATAGGAAAAGACAGGGACACGCACACAGCACCAAATTCTGCTCTGTTGCACCTCTGTGATTGCCTTGCCATAAGGGATCAGCTGGGTGGATCTGGAAGAATTTTAGGCCATTGTTTCCAGTGGCTAGAATTTATTTAATCAGTGATCTGTGAATGAACCAAGAGAAAACATTGCAGTGCCTGTTGTTTACCCTCAGAAAAGCGTGGTATGAGGTGTGTATTTATTTTTCTAGTCTCTCTTTTGTGAGTTGACATATGAACTATTCAGCATCACATATTAATGTGCTTGAGAGTCCAAGCAACCACCTAAACAACTGCCCCATATGACAAGCCACCAGCAAGAAATCCTTAGCTGTAGTAATTAATGCATTTGCTGCACAGAAAATACAAAATATAATAATAAATTTATAAACAGGTCTCAAGAGGGGTTTTTTGTTTTGTTTTGTTTTTTGGGGGGGGGGGGTTGCTAATGTAAAATCAACTTCTTTGGCAGTGCCGAGAATGTTATAAGGGTACTTTTGTAACTTTCCTGTGATAGGATGCTGAAGTTCACAGCAAAATCAGCCTACAGTGGAGGGTGCTGGATAGGGTGCTGGACTGGGACTCAGGAGTATGAGAGAATATTGCAGGGGAGGACAAACTTTTTGGTCCGACAGCCACATTGGGGATTAGAAATTGTATGGCAGGCCATGAATGCTAATAAAATTGATGTGGGGGTGCGAGCTCTGGCGTAGGACTGGAGATGAGAGGTTTGGGGTGCAGGAAGGTGCTCTGGGCTGGGATCGAGGGGTTTAGAGAGCGGGAGGTGGAATCAGGGCTGGGGCTGGGGCATAGGGAGAGGCTCAGAGGTTGAAGGCTCTGAGTGGCACTTACCTCAAGTGGTTCCCGGAAGCGGAAGCAGCAACAGCAGCAGCATGTCCCTTCTCTGGCTCCTATGTGGAGGTGTGGCCAGGAGGCTCTGCACACTGCCCCATCTGCAGGCACCGCCCCTGCAGCTCCCATTGGAGCTTATAGGAGCCGGAGCAGGGCCAACCTGGGTGGTGCGCCCCCCAGCCAGGGCAGAGTCGAGCCATGTGGTGCGGTCCCCGGCCCAGCACCCTGGCTGGGGTGGGGACAAGCCGTGTGGTGCGGCTCGCAGGCCGTAGTTTGCCCACCCCTGGAATACTGATATATCCAGCCAATAGTATGTTGATACACAGTCCCTGTGTGCTACAAATGCCCTAAAGACATTGCAATTTGCAAGCAACTATAGGTTTCCATGGTAGAAGACTTCCACAGCTCTACAGTCCTGTTCGTCTACATCCGAACTATGATATGGCATTGGTTAGTTGCAGTCCTTGGGACAAGAGGTTTGCCTCAGCTCCAGGCAGTGATGAGATGCCAGAAGCTGAAGAACCGGTTCCTTCAGTCGCTCCGGGTCTTCAGCGGCACTTCGGCAGCACGTCCTTCAGTTGCTACAGGTCTTCAGCAGCAGTGAAGGACCCGCCGCCAAAGGCCCGGAGCAAGTGAAGGACCCGCCACCGAAGTGTCGCCAAAGGTGCTGCCGGGTGAGTAAAAATTCACAGGGGAGCCTCCCCAGCTGAGAGCTCAGGCGGGACAGACAGGACAGTCCCACGAGCCGCATGTGGCCCACGAGCCGGAGTTTGCCCACCCCTTTAACAACCGGCTTCAAAATTCTAAACCGGCTTCAAAATTTAACAATCGGTTCGCACGAACCAGCTCCAGCTCACCACTGGCTCCAGGTAACCCTAGTGCATGGCTGCAAAACTTTTTGCTCCCAGTTTGGATAGAAAAACCACGTGTGGCTTCAGAAAATAGCATACTCAGATACTGCTTCTAGCATGAGATATGTCAGGGTGTGCAGGCACAATTCTATTAAAAATAATGGTGCTCTTTATCTACAACTGTGCTTGATCCTCCCCTTACCATCCTTGGTTTACATCTGTAATTTAAAACAAAAATCTAGCACTATACAACATCAATAAAGCACTTGTTAAAATTGATAAATAAGTGACGGAGATCTCAAAAAAGTAGTTGTCAATGGGGAATTAAGTCTGTGAGTTTGTCACAGAGGTCACGGAAGTCATGGCTTTCCAGGACCTCTGTGGCTTCTGCAGCAGCTAGCCCGGGGGCTGCTTGAGCAGCTCGGGCAGCCCCCGGGCCAGCCACACCGGCCGCTACTGGGGCAGTCTCGGATCACAGTGTGCCCCCCACCCCCAACAGCAGCAGGAGTTTGGGTGTGGGAGGGGGCTCAGGGCTGGGGCACAGGAGGGGTGAGGGCTCTGGGTGGCGCTTACCTGCAGTTCCTGGCCAACAGGAGCTGTAGAGCCAGCACTTGGGGTAGAGGCACCATGCAGAGCTGCCTGGCCACGCCTCCGCGTAGGAGCGGAGGAAGGGGGAATATCACTGCTTCTGGGCAGGCGCAGAACCAGGTAGGGAGCCTGCCAGCACCACTGTACCCCCGTGGTGCCCTCCAGGGCCATGCCCCACCGCACCCCCAAGATTTAGTCAGGGGTGTATAGTACAAGTCATGGACAGGTCACTGGCCATGAATTTTTGTTTATTGCCTGTGACCTGTCCATTACTTTTACTAAAGATACTTGTGACTAAAATGTAGCCTTAATCATTATCAAACATGGGTGTTTGTAATGTGGTTCTGGAAGAATCCGTTCTAGACCCAATGCTATTTAATATTTTTATCAACGATCTAGAATATAAAAATCATTGCTGATTATGTTATCCACTAATTTTAAGATTGTCTGAGTGGTAAATAAGAACCATTATGCAGAGCAGTTGAGACCATTTGGTAAGCTGAGCTCATTTCAACAAAATGTATTAATGAAGTCAAATACAAGGTCATATATCTAGGAAGAAAGAATATTGTTAAGACTGATACTGGTGTTTATTTTGGTGTCCACATTTTAAAAAGGATGTTGAAAAATTAAAGATGGCACAGAAAGTAGCCACAAAAATTATTTGAAACCTGGAAATATACTGCCTTACACTGAGAGACTTTTAGCATTTAGCTGTTTAGCTTATCAAAAAGAAGGTGAGCTGATCACAGTGTATAAGTACCTACTCAGGGAGAGAATACAGATACTAAAGGGCTCTTGAACCTAGCGGAGAAAGGCATAGTGGGTGGAACAGTGGTGGGCAATCTGCTAGCGGGCCGTGAGACAGTTTCTTTTCATTGACTGTCTGCAGACCCAGCTGCCCACTGCGCCCCGTGGCCATGGTTCGCCATTACCAGCCAATGGGAGCTGCGGGAAGTGACATGGGCTGCAGGGACGTCAGGTTGCCCATCACTGGGCTAGAAACTAAAGCCAGACAAATTCAAATTAGATATAAGGTGCAAATTTTTAACAGAGAGTGATTAATCACTTGCCAAAGCTGCCAAGGGAAATAGTGGATTCTCTCTCTTCAAGACTTCAAATCAGAACTGGGTGCCTTTCTGGAAGCTATGCTTTAGTCACCTTATTGGGCTTTATATAGCGGTAAGTGGTTGAAATTCTATGGCCTGTGTTATACAGGAGGTTAGATTAGATGATGTCTCTTCTGGCCTTAAAAAAAAAACCAAAAAACTATGAATTAAGTTATTCCTGATTTACACTGCTGTAAAAGGAGAATCAAACCCACTGCCACTGAATCATGCAGACAAAATTGAGACGACAGTTTCATACAATGGTACATCATGGTAGAGACTTCCCTGCCTTGTTAATGGTAGGATGGGCCTCTGAACACCTCCTGTGGGTCTTGACATGTCCTGCTGATGACCTGCTGGGAACCCCTGAACCATCACCAGAATAACTACTGGGGTCTACTGTTGGAGACACTGGGACAGACTCCTGTAAACTGCCTGTAGGTCCAGGGACAGACAAGGAACTGCAGGAGTGACCCTTCAACACCCCTTGAACACTCCTTGAGATGCTGGGATGGACCCTTGGGGCAACCTGAGTGAGCCCCTGAACACCTCCTACAGACACTGGGCCAGGCCCTGAATAATCTCGGGTCACCAAAATGAGCCCCTGAACACTCCTTGGGGACCCATGGATTGGGCCCCTGAATGCCATCTGTGGGCCCTGGAATGGGCCCTCAAACATCCCCTGGAGCAGCAGACTTGGTATACACAGCATACATCATCATCCCAACCTCACTTAGACCCTGATCCTGCAACAACTTACGCACATGCTTAACTTTACTTACATGAGTAGGCCCACCCCTGGGCTGCTGTAACATATGCCAACAACTATAGGGAGGATCAGTATTAGGGAGATGGGAAGGTGGCTTTAAGCCACCTTCTCCTCCCAAGCTCTGTGTAAACTTGTCTCTCTCATCACCAGAAGTTGGCCCAATAGAAGATATTGCTTCACCCACCTCGTCTTTCTCATATCATGGGACTGATACAGCTACAACACCACTGCCACCTTTACTCATGTATGCAATCTGGTCCCCCGACACTGGCCTCATGTTATGGACAAAACTGGCTGTGGTTTCAGTTTGGCTTTTGTTTCTACTTGATGTGCTGGTAGTTCAGTTTACTGTATGCAAGTCATGTAAGCCTGGAGATAAGTTGTTTAGATTGTAGACAGGCACTACAAACTTAGCAACCAGGCTACATGGCCTGTACTCAGAGCTAGTCATAAGAGCACGCTAGCAACGCATAGGGCTGGGCTTAGTGACGCTTTGAAGCAAAGGCTAGCAACGATTAAGAAAGGAGTGACAATTTCAAGCTGAGCAACATTGCAGCAACCATGACCTATCCCCAGCACAAGGGACTGCAATAAGAAATAGCAGAGAAAGGTGTGCTTGGAATATCTGTGTTGCCCTTAGTCATTCATCTGAGTCTGGGAACATTTTTTTACATTTTTTTAAATATTGTCTTCTATTGTCACCCACTCATATTGAGGAGACTTTTTATGGAATGCTTCTTTGAAGATCCTTGAGGACAAAAAGCACTGCAATTAAAAGCTGTCTCCCCTAGTTTAGCTGTGTAATCTACATCTACCTACCTATTACTCTGAAAATTTGCCACAATGACAGACTCTTCAATGGTAGATCACATGACCCGACTGAAACTCAAACTCCTGGAGAAGGTAAGATAACAATGCAGCATTCATATTTTTGTATCTTTGTAAAACTTCAAATAATTATAACCATGATAATTATAGTTATTAACTCAAAAAATCATGCAAATCACAGGACTTGGTGATGGTGGGGGACTTCGACTACCCAGACATCTTTAGGAAAATACAGCAGGGCACAGATTATCCAACCAGTTCTTAGAATGCCTGGAGCAGCTTTTTATTACAGAAGATGGAGAAAGTGACTAGGGGAAAGGCTTTTCTAGATTTGATTCTGACAAATAAGGAGGAACTAATTGAAAATTTGAAGGTGGAAGTCAGTTTGGGTGAAAGTGATCATGAAGTGATAGAGTCCATGATTCTAATGATAGGAGGGAAAACAGCAGAATAAAGACCATGGACTTCAAGAAGGCAGGCTTTAGCCAAGTCAGAGAATTGTTAGGTTTAAGATCCTATGGGAAGCAAGTCTAGGTGGAAAAAAATACAACCTAGAATACTTAAGGAACTGGCTGAAGTGATTTCTGAGCCATTAGCAATTATCTTTGAGAACTCATGGAGGATAGGCGAGATCCCAGAGGACTGGAAAAAGGCAAATATAGTACCTATCTATAAAAAGGGTAACAAGGATAACCTAGGCAGATTAGACTAATCATCTTAATTTCAATAGCCAGAAAGATAATGGAACAAATAGTCAATCAATTTATAAGCACCTAGAAGATAATAAGTAACAGTCAACATGGTGTCACAACCAGGACATAGGCAATCGACTGAGTGGTCAGAGCGGGAATCAGGAGTTAGGCCAAGTCCAATACCAGGAGGTTAGAGTCTGAGACAGGCCAGAAGGCAAACCAAGAGTCAGGTGTCAGAAGGCAGGCAGGGTCAGGTTACCAGTTGATCAACAGCAGGCACAAAGAGCAGGAATCACAGGGAAAGCAGTCCGAAGCAGGGAGAACACAGTTGTATGGCCAACTTCCTGTTCCTGGTCTTGGGTTAAATATAGGCTGGGGACTAATCAGGATCCGCATGGTTTCACCAATCAGATCTCAGGACTGGGGTCCTCTACTAGAGTTCAGCTGCTATTCATATCACTAGGTGGCAGATTGGGACTGCCTTGCTCTTATGAGCCTTGGGGATCAGGGTTGGAGACCCATGTGGTCCCTAAGATGTGTATTTGTCAAGAAAATTGTGTCAAACTAACCTAATAGCCTCCCTTGACAGGGTAACAAGCCTTATTGATGGGGGAAGCAGTAGATGTGAGTTATTTCTACTTCAATAAAGCTTTTGATATTGTCTCACATGACCCTCTCGTAAGCCAACTGGGGCAATATAGCCTTAGACAATCCTACTATAACATGGATGTGCAACTTGTCGGAAAACAGTGCTCAGAAAATAGTTATCAATGGCGCACAGTCGAACTGGAAGGGAGTATCAAGTGAGATCCCACAGATAGCTGTTCTACATCTGGTTCTATCCAATACCTTCATAAATGATTTGGATAATAGGATAGACAGTAGAGTTATAAAATTTGCAGACGATACCAAGGTGGGAGGAGTTGCAAGCACTTTGGAGGACAAGATTAGAATTCAAAATTATCTTGACAAACTGAAGAAATTATCTGAAATAAATAGGATGAAGTTCAATAAGGACAAATGCAAAGTATTACACTTTGGAAGGAATAATCAATTGCACAAATACAAAATGAGAAATGGGTGTTTAGGAAGGAGTACTGCAGAAAAGGATCTCGGGGTTATAGTGGATCACAAACTAAATATGAGTCAACAATGTAATATTGTTGCAAGAAAATGGAACATCATTCTGGAATATACTAGCAGGAGTGTTGTAAGCAAGACATAAGAAGTAAATCTTCCACTCTACTCAGCACCAATAAGGCATCAACTGGAGTACTGTTATCTCAAGTGCCTATATACAAATGCACAAAGCAGGTTATCTCAAGTACCTATATACAAATGCACAAAGCCTTGGAAACAAGCAGGGTGAACTGGAGGTCCTAGTGATGTCAAGGAATTATGACGTGATTGGAATAACAGAGACTTGGTGGGATAACTCACATGACTGGAGTACTGTCATGGATGGTTATAAACTGTTCAGGAAGGACAGGCAGGGCAGAAAAGGTGGGGGAGTAGCACTGTATGTAAGGGAGCAGTATGAATGCTCAGAGCTCCGGTATGAAACTGCAGAAAAACCTGAGTGCCTCTGGTTTAAGTTTAGAAGTGTGAGCAACAAGAGTGATGTAGTGGTGGGAGTCTGCTATAGACCACCGGACCAGGGGGATGAGGTGGATGAGGCTTTCTTCCGGCAACTTGCAGAAGCTACTAGATCGCACGCCCTGGTTCTCATGGGCAACTTTAATCATCCTGATATCTGCTGGGAGAGCAATACAGCGGTGCACAGACAATCCAGGAAGTTTTTGGAAAATGTAGGGGACAATTTCCTGGTGCAAGTGCTGGAGGAGCCAACTAGGGGGGGAGCTTTTCTTGACCTGCTGCTCACAAACCGGGAAGAATTAGTAGGGGAAGCAAAAGTGGATGGGAATCTGGGAGGCAGTGACCATGAGTTGGTTGAGTTCAGGATCCTGACACAGGGAAGAAAGGACAGCAGCAGAATACGGACCCTGGACTTCAGGAAAGCAGACTTCGACTCCCTCAGGGAACTGATGGGTAGGATCCCCTGGGGGAATAACATGAGGGGGAAAGGAGTCCAGGAGAGCTGGCTATATTTCAAGGAATCCCTATTGAGGTTACCGGGACAAACCATCCCGATGTGTCGAAGGAATAGTAAATATGGTAGGAGACCAGCTTGGCTTAACAGTGAAATCCTTGTGGATCTTAAACATAAAAAAGAAGCTTACAAGAAGTGGAAGATTGGACAGATGACCAGGGAAGAGTATAAAAGTATTGCTCGGGCATGTAGGAATGAAATCAGGAGGGCCAAATCACACCTGGAGCTGCAGCTACCAAGAGATGTTAAGAGTAACAAGAAGGGTTTCTTCAGGTATGTTGGCAACAAGAAGAAAGCCAAGGAAAGTGTGGGCCCCTTACGTTTTTTGATGAGATTCAGGTCTTGATCAGTTTTGGTTTAATTTTTCTGTTGCACCTCACAGATCCAGGGCCTTTGCTTCTTCTGCCTTAGGCAAAGGAGATTCAACAAAGACCTAGGTATTGTCCTAGGTCTAGGTGGGGGTTTTAGACTTTTTTTTTTTAAACTGTGATGATATTTTACCTCAAGATATGCCAGGGGGAAAGTACCTGCACTTTTAATCATTCCAAGCTGCCCCCATGTTTGTGTATTAAAGGGGTACTTGTTTTACCTGTGCACTCTCTTGCTTTTTGTAATCTTTAAAAATGACATCAATCATTTTTTTTCTTTATGAGGGGTGGGTGTGTGTACATGCCGACGTTCTTCTTGTTTTTTAGCCTAGGGGTATAAAGGATGGTCAAGTTTTCCCTTCCCTGTGTATGCTGGAGGACACTCAGGAGGACTGGAGAGCTCACCTCAGGCCACAACTAAAGGGAAAGGGGTAGGGTGACCATATGTCCTGTTTTGGCCAGGACAGTCCCTTTTTTAAACCCTGTCCTGGCCGTCCCGACTTTTTTTCTTTTTCTTCTTCTTTTCCAAAAGAAGGCATTTGTCCCATTTGCTCTTGCTGACTTCATCAGTTTGCTCTTGCCAACAGGACAAATGCCCACTTTTGCCAAAAGAGGGGGGGTGCGGTGCAAAGAGGGCAAGCAGAGATGCCAGCTCCCCACAGGGGGGAGGTGGCAGTGTTCCAGCTTTGTGGGGGGCAGGGTTCCAGCAACAGACTAGAGCCTCCTGAGGGGGCCTCACAGGGTTCCAGCAACGGGCAACAGCCTCACGCAGCGGGGGGCTCAAGCGAGCAGCTTCTCTAGGAGATAGGACAGAGGCTTTCTTGTATGTTATATTAACCCCTTGGGGCTGTTGGCAGCAGGTACACGTCCAAACTGTCTTCAAAGTACCCTGACTTGTCACTATGGGACTGCTGCATACCAGGCAAATCACCAAGGCAACCCCCACCCCCAAACCTCCAACCCTAGCCCGGGAGTTCCCAGCCACAGTCAAGGATGTGGACTGGTAGCTCTGTATGGGATTCCTTTTTCTGTTGCAGATGCACAATAAGGCCTTGTCTACACTATGAAATTAGGTCAAATTTATAGAAGTCGGTTTTGTAGCAAGTGTTTTTATACAGTCGATTGTGTGTTCTCCCACACAAATGCTCTAAGTGCATGTAGTCAGCGGAGTGTGTCCACAGTACCGAGGCAACCATCGACTTCCTGAGCATTGCACTATGGGTAGCTATCCCACAGTTCCTGCAGTCTCCGCCGCCCATTTGAATTCTGTGTAGAAATCCCAGTGCCTGATGGGGCTAAAACATTGTCGCGGGTGGTTCTGGGTACATATCGTCAGGCCCCCCTTCCCTCCCTCCCTCCGTGAAAGCACGGGCAGACAATTGTTTTGCACCTTTTTTCTTGAGTTACCTGTGCAGACACCATACCACGGCAAGCATGGAGCCCGCTCAGCTCACCGTCAGCGTAGGTCTCCTGGGTGCTGTCGGACGTGGTACTGCATTGCTACACAGCAGCAGTTTATTGCTTTTTAGCAGCAGACAGTGCAGTATGACTGGTAGCCGTCGTCGACATAGTCCTGGGTGCTCTTTTAACCGACCTCAATGAGGTCAGGGTGCCTGGGCAAACATGGGAGTGACTCAGCCAGGTCATTTCCCTTTTAAGTTTCGTCTCATGGAGATTCAGACCTACCGGCAGTGCACTGTCTTTTAATCTGCAGCCAGCAGAAGACGATGGCCGGCAGTCATACTGCACCGTCTTCTGCCGAGCACCCAGGAGATGACGATGGCTATCAGTCGTACTGCACAGTCTGCTGCCAGCAAGATGTATAAAGATAGATGAAGTGGATCAAAACAAGAAATAGACCAGATTTGTTTTGTATTCATTTTCTCCTCCCTCCCTCCGTGAAATCAATGGCCTACTAAACCCAGTTTTGAGTTCTATCCTTGAGGTTTTGAGTTCTATCCTTAAGGGGGCCATTCGGTTTCTCGCAAAGCCACCCTCTTTGTTGATTTTAATTCCCTGTAAGCCAAGGCGTCAGTCACCCCTCCCTCCGTCAGAGCAACGGCAGACAATCGTTCCACGTCCTTTTCCCTGGATTGCCCGAGCAGGAGCAGACGCCATAGCACAGCAAGCATGGAGCCCGTTCAGCTCACCACAGCAGTTATGACCATTGTAAACACCTCACACATTATCGTGCAGTGTATGCAGAACCAGCACCTGAAAAACCAGGTGAGGAGGTGACTGCAGCGCGGTGATGAGGACATGAACACACTTTTCTCTAAAACTGCTTTCCCCCGCAATTTGGAAATCATGGTGTTAATGGGGCAGGCTTATGCCGTGGAACGCCGATTCTGCGCCCGGGAAACAAGCACAGAGTGGTGGGACCACATAGTGTTGCAGGTCTGTGATGATTCCCAGTGGCTCCGAAACTTTCGCGTGCGTAAGGGCACTTTCATGGAACTTTGTGACTTGCTTTCCCCTGCCCTGAGGCGCAAGAATACCAAGATGAGAGCAGCCCTCACAGTTGAGAAGTGAGTGGCAATAGCCCTGTGGAAGCTTGCAACGCCAGACAGCTACTGGTCAGTCGGTAATCAATTTGGAGTGGGCAAATCTACTGTGGGGGTTGCTGTGATGCAAGTAGCCAATGCAATCACTGAGCTGCTGCTATTGAAGGTAGTGACTCTGGGAAATGTGCAGGTCACACTAGATGGTTTTGCTGCAATGGGATTCCCTAACTGTGGTGGGGCTATAGAGGGAATGCATATCCCTATCTTGGGACCGGATCACCAAGGCAGCCAGTACATAAACCGCAAGGGGTACTTTTCAATGGTGCTGCAAGCACTGGTGGATCAAAAGGGACGTTTCACCAACATCAACGTGGGATGGCTGGGAAAGGGTCATGACGCTTGCGTCTTCAGGAACTCTGGTCTGTTTAAACGGCTGCAGGAAGGGATTTACTTCCCAGACCAGAAAATAACTGTTGGGGATGTTGAAATGCCTATAGTTATCGTTGGGGACCCAGCCTACCCCTTAATGCCCTGGCTCATGAAGCCGTATACAGGCAGCCTGGACAGTAGTCAGGAGCTGTTCAATTATAGGCTGAGCAAGTGCAGAATGGTGGTAGTGTGTGCATTTGGACGTTTAAAGGGTCACTGGCGCAGTTTACTGTCTCAGTGAAACCAATAAAAAAGTCACTATAGTTTAAAAAACATGTATTCTTTATTAATTGATTATAAAAATAGGGAGATAACTCACAAGGTAGCCCAGTGGGGTGTGGGAGGAGGGTAGGAGGGAAGGAAAAGGCCACTTTAAAATTTGTTGAATGCCAGCCTTCTGTTGCTTGGGATGTCCACTGGGGTGGAGTGGTTGGGTGCCTGGAGCCTCCCACCCCGCGTTCTTGGGCATCTGGGCGAGGAGGCTATGGAACTTGGGGAGGAGAGAGGGCAGTTAAGCAGGGGCTGCAGCAGCAGTCTGTGATCCTGCTGCCGTTCATGAACCTCCACCAGATGCCAGAGCATGTCCGTTTGATCCCGCAGTATCCCCAGCGTTTCCTCATGCCTCCTCTGATCTTCCTGCTGCCACCTCTCCTCACGTTCATCCGCCACCATCCTGTACTCTGCTATTGTGTCCCTCCACACAGCTCTGTCACTGCTGGATGACTGCATGAGCTCAGAGAACATTTAATCGCGCATGCGTTTTTTTTCGCCACCTTATCTGAGATAGCCTCTGGGATGGAGGAGGGAGGCTTGAAACATTTGCAGCTGCTGGAGGAAAAAAAGGGAGTGAAGTATTTAAAAAGATACATTTTACAGAACTATGGCTATACTCTTTCATGGTGAACAACACTATTCACATTACATAGCACATGAGATTTTTGGTACAAGGTCGCATTTTGCATCTTATATTGAGTGCCTGCGGATTTGGTGTTAGAGATCACACACGCAGGGCCGGGCAACAGAATTCAGCTTGCAGGCGGCCATGGTAAGCCATAGTCTTTCAGCTTCTGAAACCTTCATAACAGCAGCCCCCTCCTTTCCCATACCAAGCAAAGCCCATTTGAGTTGGCCATTTACTGCTGCAGTTTTCCTGTTAACGTGCAGCAGCAGAAACCAAACTAACCCCCTCCCCACATCCAATTCTCTGGGATAATCGCTTTTCTCTTCCCCCCCACCGCCTGGCTGGTATCAGGGAAGATCCCTGCTAGCCAAACGCGAACAGCTCAGCTCCAATGCTCCCCCCCCCACCACGTGGCTAACTGCGGGGAAGATTTCTTTTCAGCCACAGGCAAACAGCCCAGTAGGAACGGCCACCTCTGAATGTCCCCTTAATCAAATTCCCCTATTTCAACCAGGTTACCATGAATGATATCACTCTCCTGAGGATAACACAGAGAGATAAAGAACTGATGTTGCTTGAATGCCAGCAAACACCGGGACCATACGCTGCCAGGCTTTGTCACGCAATGATACCGGATTACTTGCTACTAGCACGGCGTGGTAAAGTGACCTACCATGGAGGATGGAATAAGGCTGCTCTCCCCAGAAACCTTCTGCAAAGGCTTTTAGAGTACCTCCAGGAGAGCTTCATGGAGATGTCCCTGGAGGATTTCCACTCCATCCCCAGACACGTTAACAGACTTTTCCAGTAGCTGTACTGGCCACGAATGCATCCCAAGTCCTCAGGGTTACTTAATCATTAAAAACCGCTTGCTTTTATAACATGTATTATATTTAAAAAGGTACACTCACCAGAGGTCCCTTCTCTGGCTTCGTTGGATTGGGAGGGTATTTCAGTCAGGATGATGAAAAGATCCTGGCTGTCAGGGAGAATGGTGTGCTGTGTGCTCTCCCCAAGCTTGTCCTCCTCCTCCTCCTCCTCCTCATCTTCCCCATCTGCAAAATCCTCAGCCATGGCGGAGAGTATCCCATCCTCGGAGTCCACAGACAGGGGTGGGGTAGTGGTGATGGCCCCCCTAGAATTGCATGCAGCTCAGCGTAGAAGCAGCATGTCTGGGGCTCTGTCCCAGAGCGTCCGTTTGATTCTTTGGTTTTCTGGTACACGTGTCTGAGCTCCTTAAGTTTCACGCGGCACTGTGTTGTGTCCCTGATGTAGCCTCTGTCCCTCATGGCCTCTGAGATTTTTTTAAATGTTTTGGCTTTTCGTCTTTTGGAACATAGTTCTGATAGCATGGATTCCTCTCCCCATACAGTGATCAGATCCAGTACTTCCGGTCGGTCCATGCTGGAGCTCTTTCGATTCTGGGACTGCATGATCACCTGTGCTGATGAGCTCGCCTGGCCAAACAGGAAATGAGATTCAAAAGTTCCCGGGGCTTTTCCTGTACACCTGGCCAGTGCATCTGAATTCAGAGCGCTGTCCAGAGCAGTCACCATGGTGCACTGAGGGATAGCTCCTGGAGGCCAATACCTTCGAATTGTGTCCACACTAACCCTAATTCGAAATGGTGATGTAGATTTCAGCGCTAATCCCCTCGTTGGGGAGGAGTACAGAAATCGGTTTTAAGAGCCCTTTATGTCAAAAAAATGGCTTTGTTCTGTGGACAGGTGCAGGGTTAATTCGGATTTAAGGCTGCTAAATCCGACAAACTCATAGTGTAGACCAGGCCTAAGTGTGACTAGCAGGAAGTGAGAGATGTCCCTTCTTTCCAACCCCATTTTATTTCCTTGTGTCCCAAAAGTGTTTGTTAGTTATGCAGGACTGGATGTTCTTGTGAGCCTCAGTCCCTGACTTTTAATCTGTTCTCACAATGGTTTTATCCACAGAAACTAGAAAATGAACGCGAGACCCTGGAGAATATTGAGTCGCCCCTCTCCACAACAAGTAAGATAAAAGATTTGCTCTAGTTCAGATCATAGTTTCATACAGCAATCATTGAGTGATGTTCTTGGACCTGGGCTATGCAGGAGGTCAATGGTCTCTTCCAGCCTTCAAATCTAGGAGAGGCATCTCTGCTCTCACCCACCACACCCAGTGAGGCAGTCAGAAAGCACCCTATGTTTGTTATGGTGATAGAAATATTAACAGTGGAACAGGAAAGTGGCCTCAAACTCCTGGAACTTCCTTCCCTCAGTCTAGGCATCTTGGGCAATGGGGAGAGGCCAATTCACTAGGTCAGCCTGATTGACAGGGTGGGCAGGCTAATGAGGGAGTAAGGAGGCCGGGGGGCGGGGGGGGGTCCCATCCTGTGTGTGTGTGTCACAGAGTGGGGCCAAGCTAAGGAGAAAGCAGGAGCCCGATCTGAGCTGGGGAGCAGAGCTGCAATAACAAAAGCAGAGAAGCAGCCCAGAGAGCAGACCTGTGCTGGGAGGAGAGCTGCAGCAACCAGAGCCTGAGAAGCAGCCCAGGGAGCAGGAGGCAGAGCAGCAGCATCAGTGCTGAGGAGAGTGGAGCAAGAGCTGGGGCTGGAGCAGTCCAGAGCCAGGTGCAGGGAGCAGCTGGAGAGAGCGAGGGGGGATCCTGGGCAGTGGGCTCAGCACAGGGAGACACCCCCAGCCCAGAGGCCTTGCAGGCCAGACTTGGAGGGGGATGGGATCGTAACCCAGGCAGAAGGAGCTGATGCTGGGAAGCAGGGTCCTGCCACCTAGAGCCTGAGGGTGTGTGGCCACCGCCAGAGCAAGTGTCCGACCTGCAGCATCCCTGCAGCACAGCCAGGGCCTGGGCAGGAGGCCTGGGAGGAGCAGACTGTGAACTGGACATTCCAGAGCTGGCTGGCTGTGGGATCCCCATGCCACAGAGCAGAGTGATGGGTTTTCCGTTAGCCTTTCCCATGTTTTCCTTTTTTTAAAAATTGGTTGCTGTTTAAATAAGTTGAATTTGCTTTGAACTGTATGTGATGATCAGTGGGCCAGGGAAGCACTCAGTGTAGAGAGAGCACTCTGGAGTGGGGACACCCTGGCCTCTGCCCTAAGTGACCCCAACAAGGTTGGGGGTCAAGCCCCCCAGGTATCCTGGGCCCAGCCTTGTTGGCGTTACGAGGACTCTGCCCCACAGGAGAGTCCTTGAGGTTAGGCAGGCCTCTGGGTAAAGGAAGTGGGAGCGAGGACTCAGATCCTTTTGCTAGCCCACTTCACGGGGGTAGCGTATGAGCCAGGAAAGTTCCCCACAATAGCGGGCCTATTCTCCCACTTACACTAAGACAGCCGCTCCATCTGCAGCTCCACAGGCCAGCAGAAGCTGGGGCAGGGTGAAGAGACAGCCCTTAATGGGAGGAAAGCATTCTCCGCTCAGCAGCGATCTATCTTGAAATCAGTGCTGGAATGAAATACCAATTGCTTCCGTGGGTGATGAGGAAGGGCACAGTGGACTATGCAGCCTTTTGATTGGTGGAATTTCTCCCCCCACCCCATTTGAGCTGTATTTGTCTAAAAGAGCAGACAGGGTCAGATCCTCAGCTATTTCTGAGCAGCGCTTAGTGTAACCGAGGCCATACCCCCAGCAGTCATGACAGGGGTGTGTGTAAAGGAGCCACTATGATAGCTCTGCCCTGCCCAAGGATTCCCCTAAGCAGGAATAATCCTTCACGCACCTGCTAAGTCAGTGTTGGCCTGTTTTGCACCAGCAAAGCTGCACAGAGAAGAACACAGATCACAGTTTGTAGAATGCAAATCAAATGGGAGAGAGAGGATGCCAGATTATTAAATCCAGGGAGTAAGCTGTGCTGGCCAAACAGATGCAATTGGAAACCAACATCCATATTCCCCAGGTTGCTGTGAAACTTGTGCAAAGAATGTCAGATAACAGACACAAGTGATACAAATGTATTGGGGTGATGTAAGGGCCAAGGGGACCTCCTGTATATAGGAATTCAGTGTATAAGTGAAACATCCCATCAGTCTGTTCTTTTCTTACTGAAACCATCTGCCAGTGAGAGGTGATATTATCTTTGCTGTACTTGGTACAATAAAATCCTCGTTCATTCTTGTGACAGGATTGTCAAGAAAGTGACCAGAATTTTTTTGCCTGGAAAAAAGTAATAACAATAGAGTATCACATTTTCTAGAGTTAACCCACTATGGTAACTGCTAGAACCAAGGCCAGCTCTAGGTTTTTTGCCACCCCAAGCTTCAAGAGCGCAACTGCCCAAGGAAAAAAAAAAAAAAAAAGAAAGGATGGCCGGAATGCCGCCCCTGGAATTGTACCGCTCCAAGCCCGCTCCAAGCACGTGCTCGCTTTGCCGGTGCCTAGAGCCAGTCCTGGCTAGAACAGCCCTTTCTCTTAGTTATCCTTTAAGGAGGCAACAGAGCCTATCAGATTCCTCTTTCAGGGAGTAACGATGGACAGGAGGATGCACTGCAGAATGCGCTGAGACGAAGGAAAGACCTCCTGCGGAAGCTTAGGGTAAGATCTTCCCTGTACTACGAGGTGACTGCTGCAGGGGCTTTCAGTAGTTAAACAGCTGGGGGTATGGCCTGGAGTGTGCATCGCCCATGGATAATGGCAATTGCAATAGCAGTTACCAGACTATGCTGGTATTGGGAGGCTCAGGGACTGCATGATTGAACTTTGAGAAGAATGTAAAAGGGAAGCAAAAATCCATGAGTGCTTTTTTTATTCCTGGGATCCTGGGGGAAATGCTGCAGGAGCAGGTCCAACCCTCGTGCCCCAGGGCATGCTCCAGACAAACAAATCACCCCCTAAGGGTCTTTGGGAACTTGTTGTTTGGACAGCTGCTCGTGGGGCCATGTGAGTATTATGGGGCTTGTAGGCAGCCAGGGAACCGAGTATCCCTAGAAAAGCTGTGGGGGGGAGGGGGGAAGAGAGGAGAAAGCTGCGTTTGCCCCAAAGGGCACTCCGTGCCCCCACAGCTGTGCCAGTGCAGAGGCTGACCAGGCTTTGGGATGTTTCCAGTTAGCCGGTCATGTCCTATGACTGTGGAGCCCCTGTGGGTCAAATTCAACCCTGGTGGGGAGTTGCTAGAGTTATATCAGGGCCAAGTGGAGCCCTGTGAACATATTCATGTTTCCTGCCTTTACTGCACAGAGTTGTTCCCCCCGCCCCCATGTCACTGATCTTTCAGGAGCAGCACCTTTTGGAAGAATTTTCACAGCCCTGTGTGTTGGCAGGAGGCCACAGAAAGAACTACCGGCCGGAGCCAGTACCTGTTTACCTGACGTCCCCTCTGGCTCCTGCACCAGAACCACCAAGGATCATCCAGCAGACAGTAAGATCTTCCCCATGTCAGAACCAGTGCATACCCCCAACAGTACACGCTATAAGTAAGGGTAAGATTTTGTCATGGATTCTGTGACTTTCCGAGACATTTTCTGCCTCAGGTTTAGCCCTGTGCCCAGAGCAGCAGGAGCCCCAGAGCTGCCAGTCTCCCCCAGCAGCCAGCCCCACCATTATTTTTAATAAAAGTCAGACAGGTCAGGGGCAGTAAACAAAAAAAAAAAAAAAAAAATCACAGAAGCCTGTGACCTGTCCATGACTTTTACTGAAATAACAGTGACAAAAATCTTAACATTAGTGTGAGGGGGCATGACTCACCACCTCCTGCTAGCCATGCTGGGAATTAGCTCTTGGTTGTCGGTGCACCTTCCTCTAGTGGTGTCTCACCACCATCACTTCTGCTCCACCTCTAAGAGCCACATCATTCCCCAGACCACAGCATCCTCATCTGGGCTGTGCCCCACTCCACTTTTTCCTCTCACTTCTGGGGGGAACCAGCTGTCTCTAATCCAGCCACTTGCCACTATGGCCTACTGTAGTCTTTGGGATAGCCCCTCACCTCAAGGAGTAAACTGCAGTCCAAATACTGGCCACCCCCACTGTGGCAAGTGAGGGGGATGGGGGACTCAGGCCACACCTGCCCACTACTCCAGGCCCCAACCCAGGGACCCTATAGCCAGCAGCCATGTGCTGCCACTCCTCCAACTCCCACTGCTTATTTCCATGGGCCACTTCCCCATAGCCCTAGCACCTTCCTAGCCCTTTGTATCAGGGCCTCAGCCTGGAGCTACCTATTGCTCCTCTGACCCCCAACTCTGCTCTGAAGTACTCCTCTAAGGCAGCCAGTCCTTCTCCCTTACACTCCAGTGAGAGACTAAGTCTGCACTGTTGAGCAGCCCTTTTTATATGGCCCTCCCTGGCTCCGATTGGCTGCTCCAACAAACCTTCTCCTGATTGGCTCTCTACAAGTCCTCCTCCCATTGGTTGGGTTTTGCACAGCCTCCCTGAGGGCTGCTTTAACCCTCCATCTACCTGTGTAGGGCAGTCACCCTATCACACTTAGTTATAAGAGACAAGTACAGTACCCAACTTCTCACAGCAAGGCAGCTATCAAAATCCTGGCTGAGCAAGTGGTTTCTCAGGCCTAGATTCACAGAAGTACTTAGGTGTTTTAGTCTGTGATTTAGACACTTCAGTACCAGTTTGAGGCACCACTGCAATTCACAAAAACCCTGGAGCACCTAAACTCACTAAGCACCTACGTTTTGCAGTAAAAAGTTCCCTGAGCACGTGTGTTTCATCCTTGGAATGTGTTCACATCTGCTGCCTTCAGGGCCACCAGAACCTAAGCCCCAGAGCCATTTAAAAACCCAGGGCAGATAGGCTTTTGCTGCCTAAGTCGTGTGTAGGCCCCCATCTGGTAGGCATTTCTAGCAGCCACCTACTTGACTGGGCCCCTCAGGCCAATTCCTACAAGATGGCTTGGAGGTTGGGAGAGAGAAAAGGAGGCCCAGTGAGCCAGGACACTCACCGGGGATGTGGGAGACCCCCCCCCCTCAAGCTCCCCTTTGACTGACGGGGGAGAAAAGATTTGAACAGAGATCTACCACCTCTTTGCTGAGTGCCCTAACCATTGGGCGAGGGCAGTAAGACTCAGGCCTCGGGGGTTCAGGAGCTGAATAGATGATCAGCATTACCTGAAAGAGCCACAGTAGTGTGAGTTCATTGTTCCATTTGCCACACACACACACACACACTCTCACAACAAAGTGACTGACCAAGTATTCTACAATTAGTTAATAACACGGTAATTGGGTAATGATCGAATCACACATGAAAGAGCCACTTGCGGCTCGTGGGCCTCAGCCTGAGTATCACTGGGCTATGGGATAGTCTGGTGTAGGGCTCCATCAGCGTAGGTGGCTTTTGTGAATGACAATTGGAGGCACCTATCTCTCCCCCATCCATTTTAGGGGAGCTGTTATGCTTTTGGGGGTTCCCCCAAGGTGTCCAGGGTGAATCACTACCACCTGCTTACAGCACAAGAGAGTCTAGTCTGGGCCCACCGAGGGAAATCCTCCCAACTCTGCCAGCAGCACAAGTGTTCTGCCCCTGGCTCCGCGAGCCTCGCTCTTCCCCTCTGCACACCAGCAATGAGCACACCCCACCTTGTTACAATTCAATGCCCAGTGCCTTGTCTTCTGGAACCTGCAGTGTGCACCAATCCACTGCCTCTGTGCAAGCAGAGCACCCTAGTTTACTGGCTTCACCTCCTTTGCACAAGGCACTCAGACGTGTTGATAGTGAAACCAAACAGGAATTTATTTAACAAAGCTAGAGTTAAAAAGTCACATAAAAGCTAGTAAAAGGCTTTGGAAGCATAAGGTTACAGGTAAAAGAAAAATATAAAACAATCTATAGCCTATACTTATTAACAAGATACTTTCCTGGCCAATAAGGTATTTCTCGCCCTATGGTCAATCCTTACAGCACTGGTCCAGTCCTGGGAGCTGGGATCCACTTTTCATGAGACACTTGCGCTGGGAGAATGTATCCTCCATAACAGATAATATCTTGTGCACTTTCCTCTTCTCTTATACAGCCCCAGACTGTATCTCTTTTCATAATCAGGGAGTTTCATTACCTTCAGCTCAGGCCTGAGGGTCCCCTATTTTGGGTCTTTTCTTGGGGTTCTTTGTAAATGCTCAGACCTGCATCTGGTGATCACTTTTGATTGAGTTAGCAGAGACCCAGCCCCCACTCAGGTGACACGCTTCATCTCCAACAGCTTTGGAACATAATATTCTACATCTCTCCAAACATCAACACCATGATGATCATGTTCTCAGCTTTTGGCAAAGAACACACCCGACCCTCTTGGTGACATATCAGGAGACTGGTCGGACACAACTGTAATGTACCTACCGGGGTATGTCTGTGCTGTGGGGACTCACAGGTCATGCCCACTCTTGACCCCGTACGATCCCTGTGCGGAACCCCCTTCAGTGTGACAGCCCTTCTCAGGAGTCCACTCTCTCCCGGGGGTTAAGCCCCTCCACCTCCTGGAACTGCTTCTCTCTGAGCCTTTAGCATGTCTGTCTCTTGCCGGGGGCCCCCTCAGGGAGTCCACTCACTCTGGACCCCCAGGGCCGCAGAGGGAATAATGCAATCCTGTTCTCTAGATCGAAGCGACTCTCAGCCAGCGTAAAACATCCATCCTTTGTTCCCCACTGGCTGGTCAGGTCACCAGGGTCCTCTCTCTGAGCCCATTGTCCTCCCACTGGCCAGATCCGGCTGTGATGTCCGAGCTGGGCCTTCTGGTTACCAGGCACCAGTCGCTGGGGTATTCATTCTCCTGGTCATTGGCCAGGGTCCCAAGTTCCGTTGCTGGTCTTCTGTAACAAACTCCCTCTCCCATCACCTCGTTAAACCAATAACGCCCAGGGAAACTGAATTCCACCCCCTCTGCATGCAAACCATTGAAAAAAAACCAAGAAAATCCCTCACTTCATCACATCTCTCCCTGCTTCGAGTCTGAACTGAGAGGTGTCACTTAGCCAGTGACCTGGGGAAGTTCAGGGCCCCCGCCCCGAGATAAGGTATCAGCTATAACATTGGCACTCCCCCTCACATGGGCCACCTCCATGTCATAATCCTGCAGGAGCAGACCCCACCTCAGGAGCTTGGCATTAGCTCCTTTCATTTGGTGTAGCCACGTTAGGGGCGAATGGTCAGTGTACACAGTGAAGTGCTGCCCAAATAGATACGGCTGCAGCTTTTTAAGGGCCCACACCAGAGCCAGGCATTCCTTCTCTATGGCCGCATAGTGCTGCTCCCGGGGCAGCAGCTTCTTGCTCAAGTACACAATGGGATGTCTCTCCCCCTTAGTATAAGTTTGCATTAGCACCGTGCCCCGCTGGGTGTCTGAGGCGTTGGTGAACGCCAGGAAGGGTTTATTAAAAATCCGGGTTTACCTAGACTGGGCTTTGGATGAGTGCCCCCTTCAGTGCACAGAGAGTCCTGTTGGAACGCTTGGTCCAGACCACCCTGTCTGGCTTGCCCTTCCTAAAAAGCTCCGTGAGGGGAGCTGCCAGGGAGCTAAAGCATGGCACAAACCTCCGGTAGTACCACGCCATCTCAATGAAAGCCTGGACCTGCTTCTTAGTCTGGGGAGCGGGCCAGTCCTTGATTGCCTCCACTTTGGCCAGCTTCAGGTGGCTGCTCCCCACCTTGTGGCCCAGGTATGACACCTCTGCCATCCCCACCTTGCACTTTCCAGCTTTTATAGTCAGTCCTGCATCCTGGAGGTGACTCAGCCCCCTCTTCACCTGGGACACATGGTCCTCCCAGGTTTGGCTAAAGACACAGATATCATCAATATACGCTAGAGCAAAGTCCTCCATCCTCCTCAGTAACTGATTCACCAGGTGCTGGAAAGTGGCAGGTGCCCCATTGAGGCCAAAAGGCAGGGCCAGGAACTCGAAGAGCCCTACCTGGGTGGTGAAAGCAGACTTCTCCCTGGCCTCTGGGTCCAAAGACACTTGCCAGTAGCCTTCGGTGAGATCCATAGTAGTGAGGTACTGGGCAGCCCCCACAACTTATCTAGGATCTCGTCAATCCTAGGCCGGATTGACCCATCCTTCTTGGGGACCAACATGGGAGAGGCCCAGGGGCTGGAGGACGCCTGGATCACCCCTAAAGCCAGCATGTCTCCGACCTCTCTCTCCAGGTCCTGGGCTTCTTTCCCAGTGACCCTGAATGGGGAACACCTGATGGGAGGGTTGGCTCCCGTCTCCACCCGGTGAACAGCCAGGTTAGTGAGCCCAGGCCGGTTGGAGAGCAGCTGCCAGTATGAAGGCAGCACCGCTCTGATCTCGGCCTGCTGGGCAGGGGTGAGCTGGTCTGAGAGGGGAACTGATTCCAGCGAGGGATCAGCCCCCGGCTTAGGGAGGAGACCCACCAGGGGATCCTCTCCCTTCTCCTCCCACTGCC